GTTCGTTTGGAGGTAGTCCTCCTAACACAGACGAGTAGTTCAAAACTGTCCCAGTTTCGGCTTCTCATACCCTGTGTTCTTCAGTTTTCCCTCGACCTTGTGTCATACAGTCTAAAAAGGCCAGCGTACCCGAGATTGGCTCCATCTCCATACTAAATTTGATGTATGGACTCAGTTCATTCAGATAGTTGTAAAACTTCCAATATACGTAAGCCGCTCCACAACTTCGAGTGTCTCTCTGTATTATAAGTGACGTGTTTAGTGACTGCATGTCAACGAGCATGACCTTACACTTTTTGGGTGCAAAGTGCATACCAAAGTTCATTCAGAGACACTGCCTTCTCCTCGGAGGCATGACCGATTTCATCTGGCTGTTCCAAATCGACGGAGTTGAGCACTGAAGTTTTGAAGACCTTCGCCGTTCGTCCCATTATTCGATTGATGACGAAATTGAATATGAAGTTATTTTTGGGATATTTCTTTGAGATTTAGGCTGTTCGGTCTGCTCTCCAATGCTTAAGTGTACCTGGTAGTGCTATGCCACAGGCAGACTCCCAGCACTATGAACAGAGTTGGCAATCTCGTCCAAGTATAAATTCACGTCTGATGGTGGAGCATTTGGAAGAGACCCTAGAAGACGATTCTAGTAATTTCGTCCGACATCCGGATCTACTAGTCCCTCAGTTGCCAGGCGATTTATCCGCACCTTACGCGGTCCTGGAAAACGAAGGGAGAAGCTACTTTAGACGAGTGTGTGATCGGAATCTACAAGTGTGTTCCAAACGACTGACAGACGGTTATTAGTCCGCGCCATCGGCAACTGATGGCGATGTAATCGAAGCGAGTTAGTTTGAAGACACCATGTGGTCATACAACTTCGACTATTTTTGAACAGCCTGTTGTCAGCACATAGCTGAAGCAATCGTAGCCGGAAACGAGTGGAGAGTGATGCCAACTACTGTGCTTGCATCTTGATTTCTTGTTTCTGGGATACAGCACACACCAATACCAAGCGAGTCCAGTGTGCGAGCAAGAGCAGCTTATTGTCCTGCTTGGTTCATAGTACGGACATTTGAGGCGGTCAGATAGATAGACTTAGCGTCGTGGCTTTAAGCTTGATTCTGAGATGCCTGGGGATGTCGGCGCTGGATGACGCGCAGATGTTACCGGCAAAGCCGATGCAGGACGGGTAGGGCCATCACCTCCAACTTCTGGGCCTACAAGGAGAGTCAATAAGGGGGTGGGGAGAGGGGGAAGAAAAGGCATGTAAATGAAAAATAAGGGAGGTGTCGGCAGTAGCCTCTTTTTGCTTAACTGCCCTGCATATAAATGCAGAGAGTAAGGCGACCCAGCCGATGACAGCACACGACGGCCGATGCGGCATGAGTTTATTCGTATATGTGCAATTCCTGGTTGTACGTGGGCTGGAATACTGCCAGGGCGCCAACACCTAGGCAGGAGGACAGTTATGGTCCTCAACGAAAGCATTTGGCCCAACGACCTGACCTTGAGGCAGCGGTGTTTTGCTGGAAATGCAAATACGTTACTATTTTCACGGAACAAGTCGCCACACATATTCCAAACCCCAACCCTGAGAACTAGGAGACTTTTCGTCAGACCTATTTGTCATTGACCAACCTGGTGTGAGAGACTTTGAGTATCGCGCGGACATCCCTCCTCCTAGTATAGCTAAATGGGTGGCCGAAGTACGCAAACTGTCATACCACTGTAGGGTTCCTCTCTTCGTGACGGAAGGCAAACAGATAAACCAGATTTTGACGAATTTGGCTGGGGTTGCCTGGATTGCTAGGCACTGTCATGGTTTTCGGCGGTCAGCATAAGCAAAAGCACCCTTCAGATAAGGAAACACGACCAGTCGCATTCGTTCAAAGAAATATTCCATCCAAGCAACGTTTTCGGATCCTAGATTTGATTCAGGCACATGTGGTTTTAGTCCTCACAAATTTGTTTCCCGATAATCTGGCTATCAGTGCAGGAAAATTCCAGAGAGTCCCTCAGACGATGCAACTGAAAACTGAACCCACAACGACCTCTGCGCGATGATATCACGCCCTCCGAAAATCTAGGTAACTGCGGATGCATTCAGTTTCACCGGTATCCTTTTGGTTTGTGCACATTTATCTCTCCGTTTCGTTTACTCCAAGATACAGGTGCGCGATTTGTAGGTGAGAAGAGGTTGTCAGATCTAACCATTCTGATCAACTACCAGGACAGTTTGGTGGGGCAGCTTGGCACCTAGTCGCCCGTAGAACATCAGTTAACGCTTATGCAGCTTGATGTACATAACACTGGTCCAGATACCCACGGCCTGGCTCAACGAAACGGTAATCATACATATCCACACATCGCTTGAAGCGCCATGTTGGTGCGTGTTCAGAATAGTGGCAATTAACTTATATTTCCGAATAATGTGGATTTTTTCTAGACACGAAGTGCAACATTCACCATATAGCAAGTCGCTGACCCGTTTTCCTTCCACTCCAACGACTACTTGCAGTTATGATGAGAGAAGAATTTCCCGTGATGATGACGCAAGGATTTAGTCGCCATTGAAGTGGGGTATACCATTTTGTTTTTAAATTCATAAGCTGTTGTATTGAAACTACCATATGCTGTGGATATCTTAAGCATCTGTCATTCAGACCACATCCAGTCGAGTTTACACCCATAATGTGGTTCACGGTTTGCTGCCATTATCGTCCTTCTATTAGGTTAAGCATGCCTAACTTGTTTTATCGAAGACCTATATGACACACAATCTCCGATCGTTTAGAGTAGTTTGAGGTTGTAAAAATTAAGAAAGTGGTTGCATTACATTGTCTGTGACTCACTGCAGGTTTGCAGTATACTCGATTGGTCATGTGGAATTCATGACGTATTACCCAAATATATACTCAAAACGTTTTTGCTGTTTTATGCAGGAGCCTGTCGCTCCTCAACCCGAGCCAGGCGGACCAGATGATGAACCCACAGTGGGAATATCGGATCAGACGGGTTCGCTTGCTGTCTCAAAAGCACAACCAACCACTCAGTCAAACCCACTTCCCACGGGGAACGGGACGATGGAGGTGATCGAGCCCAACTCCACCGAGGCTGTACCGACCCCTGTGGATAAAGAAAGCACGGCAGATGCTGCGCAAGGTGATACCAGCGTGGAGCAGTATATTCTCAGCGAACAAACTGCCATTGTGGATAACAAACCAACACAACTTGTCACTCTGATGGATGCTCAGGGCCAAGTTCTTGATCAAAAACATGGGGAAGCCGGCGAACAGGTCGTTTTAGAAATGCATGGACAGATGTTCTCGTATGAATTGCAAGGTCCATCCGAGAACGGCGAACCTATCACAGTGCGTTTCTAATGTCGCTGTATGATAATCATCATCATTTATGCGCATGATGTGTGTTCAGACTTACACCTTCACGCGAATTTCGCCGTGTGCAGAAAAAATAAGTTGTTGTGAAACTAAGCAGTCTTCATATAATTTTCTGCTTGACTTATCTTTTCATCCCTTTGTTTTTCTGTACTTAGCTCTGTTTCACTAAGTTATTATATCACGCTATCGCAGCGTATCGCTTGGAGGTTCAGGTCCGATTTTTAGCGATGAGGGGCTTTTTTTAGAATGCGTTGGGAGTTGTAACCAGCCGGAGGCAGTAAGTGGGTTAAGGTACCTTGGTCGATTGGTTCTTTGTGGGCTTGGACAAACTGACGGTGTCTTATCATCCATCATGGCTTATAGGAGCAGCACAGACATCATGGTTTGATGGTCCGGTTTTATAGACGCACCTTTAACTGTCCACTACTTGCTTCGCTCCTTGGGGTTACGAGCCTTTCTGTTTCCGGTGCATATCTCTTTATCACAGTTTTCAACACCTTCAGAACGTAACTGGAAAATTGAACTCAAGTAAAATCAGTACATAGTTTTCATTATACTCTCTCCGATCAGTATGGGGAGATGAGTTGTTGAACATCTGCAAAACTCCCCTTCGGTGGAATTACCCACTATATCTGACTGATGTAGCTGTCCCCCTCTGGATAAGAGGCCCATCAAGCGTGGTCTATTCTCAAGGGCGGTGATGGCGGGAGTTTAGTTCAGTATTCACTGAATTTATGGGTGAGTTGCAATCATGTGCCATATGCCATCATGATCGTGGAGGGAGGTCTGTGAACATTGGGATATGTGTACGAACATCGAAAGGAGTTTTTTAGAGCTAGAAAGTCCTGTAAAAGTGTACGCCTTTAGCCTCAGGCTGGAGATGGTTCAGTGAAAAAAGCGTGAATATTACCGATCGGACCGATCGGTTCGAACTCATTCTCCTCATCTCGACGACTGCTGTCTGGGATTGGGCAACCTGGCAGTATCTCAGCTCTCCTGCTTCCTTCAGATGGCATGCAGCTATGTGTTGCAACTGAACGACACTGGCTCAAATAAGCCATTAGCCAGTGGTTGCTAGAATAGTGCGCCTAACCCCACCCGGAGCCTACAACCCAATGTTCCAGTCATAGTGACCAGCCTAACCCAAGTTCTCAGAGACCAAGACATAAGTGCCTGAATTGTCATGTTGCCTGACACAGAAAAGACGTTTTGAACAGTATTAAGTTCTTGCCAGCATCTATTGGCCTTTCCAACTTTTCGGAGTGTTTATTGGCGTTCTTGATCAACCCTTGGTACGATCCGATAATGCGGTTTTCAGGGTCACTCCTTTGATGCTTTTGAGACCAACCGGCAATCAAAAGAACCGTTTGAGACAGAGTGCAACCTGAACCCGATTATCTTTCTTGTCGTTTGGGAGGTAACACGGTTTTCGGCAGCTTCTCTCCAGGTTAGGGCAACCTGGCAGGTTTTCATCTGAGATACCTTTTTGGAGCCAAGTTGGAGTTCTGTACTGAAATTACTGCAATTCCAACGGACTGCTTCTTTTTTCAGTGCTTCCCTTAAGTGGTGTGCTTCTCTTTCCATTATTACCTTCACATTTGCCTCTTTCTTTCATCCTGTTTGCACGTAGTCTACGTTGCTGGTGTCCTCAGGCGACGCGGATGCTGAAGCTTCGGAGGGCACAGCCACTCAGCTTTCAGAGAGGGACACTTCAAGCGCGACTGCTTCCGGCAATTGGGTTGAGGTACGTTGTCAGACATAAAAATGGCCTCTCGTTACTTGCCGCGATCGTTTTTTGGTCGACTGGATGAAAATTCGACATGTGCGCTCTCAGCAATTCCTGTGGGTTGTCTACAAAGGTTTAATCTCTGGCATACCTTTAGAAGTTAACAATCGATGGCCTTGAGGTGACTCGGTGGGTCAGAACCGTTGGTGGTAGTTCATGGTCCGTACCATTGTCTTTCTCCCACTGGAAATGGTGTCGTCATCAATAAGGATGCCACTGCATTCCAAAGGGCATTATCGTCTTCTGGATCGAATACACGACGGTGCTGTGAATCCTAGTATCACTATTGGTTCCCCGTCCCTACTGACAATGGTATATAGTTTGACTTTCAATATGGACCAAAGTAATCATTCCCAGTTTCACAGTTGAAATGTTGCCAAGTTCCTTCTTTTCATTTTCTTGATCTAGCAGCCTGCTACCTCTTCCGCAGCAGATGAAACGGGAGATGCTCCCCCCGTCGGTCAACAGTTTACATTGACTGAAGCGGTAGCCATGGTGGACGGCGAAGCGCTTCAGACGGTCATCCTTACGGATGAAAACGGAAATGTTTTGGACCAAAAGCAGGGTCGAACGGGTGAACATGTGATCATCGAAATGAGCGGCAATTCGTTGGAATATGTTTTTCTGGGTCCCACGGAGAACGGCGAACCTATCACCGTAAGTTCCCTGTTGGGCCTACGGATGCGACTGCGCGAAACCCCTTAATCTGCTGTTTGGTTAGCATCTTTCTGTCACCGTGTTCTTATCCATTTTAGACCACCCTGGTTGTTACGACGGACCCCGATGTTGCTGAACATACTGAGGCATCCGGTGCTGAGCTTAGCGAAGCCGTTACCACAGTGTCCAATTGGTGTCCTACCGGATTGCCATCAGAATTCTACTCTATTCTATGTCGGCAAGTTGAATCGATTGTGGCCACAAGAATACCCCAGACTGAGGACGGGACAGCTTTCTACCAACCGGAACCATATCATCGTAAACTCGGATCACTTCCAACTTATCACCAAATGACAAACCTGGCAGAGAACTATCAAATCGGTGCTACTCACGGCGAAACGTTGGAACGCTACGAAGAACTGCGCAATTTCGCGAGAATTTACCGCCCATCTGGTCCTCAATCCAGGGCCTTGACAAAATATGAGGTGAGTCCGGACGTGACGCTTGCTAAGCCGAGCTCCGCACATTATTTTCCCCCAACAAAACCTCACCAGTCGTCTGAAAATTCTATCCTTTCAGATTGCAATGAACGAAGCAGCTGCACAGCTTTGTCGTTACCAGCCAGGCTTACTATTTCACAAACGAGAATTGTTTCATTTGGCCAAGGAAACTGTGGAACATTCACAAACGATACTCAACTCTGAACGGCGATTAATTCACCAAGGTCAAGAAACTGCCACTCAGTTTCAGCATTTAGCACTACAAAGCCAAGCCCAGGTTGTAAAGTCTGTTCCACCTACTTCGGCAGTTCGTCCACAACCGCCACGAGCTCTCCAGTCTGCAACAACAACAGCAGCGGCACCTCCGCCGCCTCCTCAGCCTTCACCAGCGACGGCTGCTGTTGGTGGACGTGTGGCAAGCTCACAGTTGGCTTTGTTGGAATCCCGCGGACTGTCGGGTATCAAACCACAAACTGTGGGTATGAATTCCACTGGTATTCCTACGTTCTCCGCACCCGTTGCGGGTGATGCTTCCTTGGAACCAGGTACCACAGTTCCCCCTCAACCGATGACAGAGACAGCGATCACGGGCGCAGCTGGAAAGCCTCGCGCGCCTCTGGGTGATAACGGGTGAGTAAATTTTTCACTCCATTATGTGATTGTGGCGAGATGCCTCGGTTGTTAGAGCGCGAATTTACTGACCGGAATGTCCGTGGTTCGAACCCGACCTCTACATCTCGACTTTCCCTGTCTACGCTTGGGCAATCTGGCAGTATCTCAGCCCTCGTGCTTTCTTCTGGTGGTATGGCAGTTAGGCACCGAAAGGGTGCTACAGCTAAACGATCCATTATATGGTTTATCAGTCTCCTTCAATAACAGCATGTTACAAACTCTTTATACGGCTCATTCATAGTTATCCTTCGAAGTTTTCCTCACCATCAATGATGATCTCTCTGAGGAGCGAAATCTGATGCTTCTGGGCTTTTCTGAATTAATCGAACTGTGTACTCTGTACAGTTCTTGGTTAGCTAGCGACCCTTAGATTTTGGCTCTGGTCCTCCTTGTATGTATTAGACTAAAAGGTGGTTTTGTTGTGTGAAGGGCATAAAAGACTGTTACTGGTGCCTGATCTTCACGTTCCCCGTTAACCGTTTCGAAATCCATCCGGCGTCGAACTTAGCCCCGGTTGCAACGTAGACCTTATCTCATAGCCAGTCCATATCCACATCACTTGGCCTGCAGCAGAGAAGACTGAGGACCAGAGTAAGTAAGGGGGATCCGTATGGCTATTAGGCATTTTAGCATTTCAAACCAACCCGTAATTCATACGTGTACGAACAGTGAACGTTTGTGGCGCTATCTCACATGATTCACGCGAAAACGTATGATTCTCCAAAAAACAGCTCAGTCGTTTTGCTCGTTTGTGAGACTCCGGTATTTCTTTATGTTGGAAATAGTGGTTATGACTGAGTGCGTTAAGTGACGTAGAAATTGCCTGTCCGAACTGTATATAATCAAACTCCAAATAGTGTAGGTTAAATTACTTCGGTTGATTTTTTTTATATGTTTTTACTTCATAAAGAGTCCCGTGTACAGAAAGCACCTGTTTACAACTGCCACCCTCCCTTGATCACCCAAAGCTCGCTTGGGCTTGGTTTATTTCCAGAGAAAATTCCCACGATCAAGAACACAGATAGTGTAATTCGCACTAGAAAAGAGCGCTTAGTTATTCCGGACAGGAGACAGCACCCTGTGGCCCTCTTGTTCTAACTATTCATTTTCAACTGTACTCCTTGAAGTTATCGAATATTCCTTGTCGTATTCCACAATAAACAATCCTAGATTTCTTGAAGATTTGTGTGCATTCATATTGCACTGAGCGCGATTCATTCCTGAAGTCGAAGCAAGTCTTATGTATGATATGAATCGGAATGCGTGATTATCATACGGCGTAGCGCAAGTGTCCGTGCTCTAAAGTACCATTCTGTCTTACGCTGACAATCTCCAAGAGTTTCTACAGAAATATTTTCCTCGGCAACACCACTACGTCCTCTCCTTCATAATCGTGCTATTGGTCATCGAGCCAGTCGACCTAAAGAGTTGTTTCGGACAACCATTGAAAGCCAACATTAACCTCTTCGTCCCTTGTACTGATGCACTTACCTGCAAATCTTGCTACTGACTCAGTGAACACTCGGAACAAGGACGGGGGTTGTGTCCTACAGTTCACCTTACAGCATTGGGGGCTTGACTCGGTCTTGCACGTGGGGTTTGGTTAAAAAAAAGCGACGGTTTCTACGTGTTGGCCTAATGAAGCTAAAGGACTCTCAAGCTAGCAAAACTCAACATATGTTTGCTGCACTGGTGATGAGTTGGAACCTTCCATACGCATGCATGTACGCAGCTGAAGTGGGATCCAGTATGTGTAGCGNAGTCTTGTTTACAAATCCCTCGTCCGATTCTGGCGGTTCATTCACTCGGGTCGTTTGGTGACATCCCCTGATGAATGGCATAACTGGCTAGTTTTGAACGAAGTGACCAAATGTAGAGTAAATTAGAATGTTTTTAACATGAGAATGAACCTTTCGTTTACGTATTCAACTAAACGTGCTGCACAGATGCCACTGATGTTTCATTCAGAACAATTTTGGAGATGCTTAGCTAATTCCCTTGATGTGACTTGTGAGATCGTTGTCGAAGAGTTTTCAAATACTTTATAAGCAGTGTCATATTAAGGGATCGTGAAATGTGGGTTCTAGATAGACATAGCACGAACCAAAAGGTACGTCTAAGGGTGGAATCTAAGCAATGAACATAAGCCTACGGAATCGGTGCTGTAACAGATGAGCTACCGCGGATGTTTGTGCTTGAACTTCCTGCCCACATTTTGTGCAGCACAACGGCTCAATATACTACCCATCAAATTTTTCTTTTGTTTTGTGGAAGAAAATTGCGAACGTTCCTGCAAGCGTAGCTCACAGTAAATATTTATAGAGAACAATCGATTTCCCAGCTGAAGTTGGCCAGCCTCTGCACTGGGCTTGTTCAAATCTACAGAGGTGTGATATTGAATGTACACAGTTTACATTGGGAATCTGCATTGGAGAACGATTCAGGTGATCAAGCACTGAATGACGTTCTTCCATTTCATGTCTGTTTATTTGAGCAATTGTCATGTAAATCACTAGACTTAATTTTCTGAAGGAAGTTCATGAAATTTCGAGTTTAGAAACTACAATCGTGCCGAATGCGTTGGCTTCTGGTTTGGTGGTTCTTTTCTGTTCGCGTTTTTGACACTAAAATCTATGTGTGCTTTCATTGAGAGTACGACGAATCCGTTTTTCTCCTTTTAAGCATGAACTACTATCCATCAATGCCGCTCATGAAACGTGACACAATATGCAAGGTGAGTTTCACGCGCCAATCGTTGTTACCAAAAAAAACACGTTCCCCTTGGTACTTTACCTTCCCAGTGTTTTTGATTGCTATTTTACTCACACGTCCGTACAACACCAGTATAGTACGTGGTGCTCTTTCTCAGACTTTTGTATTCGTTCTTGAGAGTGTAACAGCCGTACGTCTAGTGGGACTATCGAGTATATCACAGGTACACTACTCCCTATGAACATTCCATTTCTGGAACCGTAACCGAGACTGGGGCAGTATAAACCAATTTTTCATCGTCTAACTAATCAGTTGGGATAGTTCATACTGAACAGTTGGCTTAGACAAGCCAGCTTTCGGAGTGAAAGCATCTAGTCGGGTTGCACATCGCACGTTCTATACCCATTTCACCTCAAAGGTACATCTGAATTCTTCCCACTGTTTAACAATTACATCCATTTAAACACAAAGTAATTCCGTATTATTCATTGCCCCCTTATTTTGTCAAAGTGTTTTTTATCGCTTAACCACGTTTCCACGAACGCTGGTCTTCTTGCCAGTAAGCAAACAAATAAATAAATTTAATAGGTTCCTTGAGGTGCTCTTATCAAGGAGTATCATCGGTGCTACTCAGTTCACAGCTGACGATAGAATCAGCACTGGAGGAGCGATTCGGTGTTTAAGAAGATCAGATGCGATAATGAAATCGTTCCGTTGGTTGATGGCTTAAAAGGTATTCGAATGCATGTTCCGCTGTACTAGTAGTAGATTTAAAAATCAATTACGCAAACATCATGTCATTTCCGCAAATATACGTGTTTCAGTACGATCCTTCTAGATGGGGTGCGAAGCAATTGGAATGTTTACAACTTCCGAGGCTCAGATTTGATTGAAGGGCAATCGAAGCATGAAACCACATGAATAGCGTCACCGTACTTTCATGCCCAGATTATCCATTCACTAGTACCGCTAAATTGTGTGAAAAAGTGGTCCGTTCGAACCGTAGATGTATGGAAAACGAAGATTCTCTAACGCTGCTATCCTGAACTCCTTTTAAAGCTTCGTCAAGGTATTTTGAGAAGCTTGTACACCCACTTCAGACGATGACGTTAACATCCTTCTGGGCACCTGTTACACAAAAATCGAAGTTGATGTTTTTAAACAGTCTATCTAGGTGTATAAATGGCTTGAATCCGAATCGGATTTACCGGTCAACGGTGGACGCCTGTGTATAACAGAGTCATAGTCTTCGCTGAGCCAAGTGTAGCGCCGTGTAAACTCAAGAGAATAAGGTTGTCGGATGAAAGTGAGGAGGTCTCTCGCTAGCCATGTTTCAACCTAAACACGTTGATATAACAATGGACAGTGGCACTGGTTATCTGGGCGGGTGCTGAAATATCAGTAGCTCGGGTGCGTTGACTTTTTGTAAACATGGTGACTGTTGATCTGTTAACCGATCTTGGTAAGTTGTTGGGAAACGTTTTGTCACCAATCGTGGGGACATCATCAGTGCGGGATGTTGATGTCGGTGAGAATACTTTCTGGATGTGTCTCAGCTGCGTGATCGGTTTACTTTGTGTTTGTAAATACATCCATGTGATGCTTTTCGAATCTCCCAATTTCTGTGTTGGACCGTAGCTCACTACGGCACAAGATGAAGCTATCCGAGCATCTGCTTTGGACCTCATCCTTGACCTTCCCCGCTACGATCTCAAATCGAGAATTGACTGCACGAATATTGAGTTGGCCTGTTGGGAACAAGCCAAACAGCTTGCCGCGCAAACAGATTTGCCGATTGACTCCACCACCAGCGAGAATGCGGCCGGACTACACGCCGCGATCAGTGCCTTACTAACCAATGAGAAACGGGTCAACTCCGTCCGTGACTCGGCTGCTCTGTATGGTCGTCCTCCGGGAGTGCCTCAAATCAACGCTGCTGGCCTATCTCGTTCGTCCGCGATATCGGCCCTAATTCCATACGAGGTGGCCTGTAACGAAGCAGCTGCCTATCTGACTGCCGCTGTACCTCAGCTTTTAACTCACCGACGTGAACTGTCCGAATTAGCGAAGAAGGTTGTACGTAATTCCGGCTGTTTGTTCACGAACAGTTCTGCAGTGGATAAGTTGTAAGTTGTTGTAAAACACAAACCATGTGGTGGCTCAATGTGCGATTTATTAACCTTGTGTGATTTTTGTCCTGGTCCTGGTTAGAAGTCTACCTTCAACCCTTGCGCATCGTCTGACCTTTGACCTTCCTCATATTGCCTCGTCATTTTGTTTGGCTGTTTCTTTTTAGAGCTGTTGGTGGTGGTGTCTATCGATTTTATTGTTCTGATCAGTTGCCGGAACTCGATTTGTCCGCTGCAGACCAGTTGCTGACCGATCCCCTTGATCGAAGCGATTCACCTGATTCAGGATGCTGCCTAAATGGTGGAGATGCAGAGCCAGAAAACGTAATTGGTGAGTTTCATTCTGGTTTCCGCAAATTTAATCAGTCATTCCACTATCTAAACATGTCTGTGATCAGTAATAGTCTAGTTTGCAGCTTTTTTTCACTGTGCTGCACGGACTCCATGTGAGTTCACATGAAACTTGGCGATCGTCACTTTTCTTGCTGGAGATTTTGAATTTTTCACAATTGGTGTAAGAGCATCTGTACGAATGTCCGGAGGCAGGCGTACCTCGTACCGTGGTCGAAGGAAAACCTAGTCATATACTGTGAATTATTGTCACTATTCCCAAGCTTCACTGCTCTTGAAACTCCACAGGCTCCTGTACGCAGAGTCATTTTGTTTCAGATACTGTCTGTTAAGTCCCAAGGTCTTCAGTACGCTAAATCATATAGTCTCTTCGTCACTGCGAGAAATTCGCCAATCAGATGCCTCAATTGATTTCACGATGCTGGTGCATCTTTTCTCTTAAACCCGGTCAAATATCACAAGAATGACGAGCAATCGATTGGACTTCTCCCTATGAGATGGTTCAGAGTTTAAGGTGCGAAATTACTAACCGTTATTCCCGTGGCTAGTACCCAGTCTCTGCATCTCGACTGCCCCTATCTGGGCTTGGTCAACCACACAGTATTTCAGCTCTTGTGCTTCTTTCAGGCAGCACGGCAGGTGCGTACCGGAAGACTTTCGCATCTGAATGATTACTTGTTTATATTAGTCGAGGAGCTGGTCAGCGTGGATCGAGGTGCGTTTACCCGCGTCTTTGATGAAGAACGGCGGTGTCCATAGGGTATACGTAAGCTTGGACATGTATCTCATTTTTATCATTGCTATGTATCAGGACACGCGGCAACTTGAAGCCAAGTGAAATCACCTGAATACAACCATCCCGACACATTAGACCCTGGTTAGTTCTGCAAAGCTATACCAGCCTCTTCGTTCCCGCTTTGATTGGCGATGATTCCATAGCGCATCGATGGTTGAACCCTAGTTTTGTGTGGAAAAATAGCTCCATTCGTGCTTAGTCTTCGATGACTTAGAGTTGGCTTGTTTGAGTAATACCCGAGATTTTCGGTGTACACGCTAATGTAGATTCCGAACTGAAATGTGGCAGTTTTGTTGCGAACTAAATGAACAATCACCAATGAACACTTGTACAAAACAATCAAAGTTCGTTTGGAAACTCGCTTCTCCTAGGAAGCATACTTCCAGAGTGTGAAACCTTTGATGTCACCCTCCTTTCCCCTTCCTAGCAAGCTTTCAGACTTTGGCACTGTCCTGTGAAGAATGCAACAACGTTATTGATGATGTAACCATCTACACCTCGACCGGAACAGACTCCTTGAAGAAGGTTCGAATCTTGAAGTGAGTTTCGTTTTGTGCTCCCCACGGCCTTGTTTAATGGGGCAGAACATCGTCACCTGTTTTCTCTAAAAATCTCATTTGCGTTTTTTCCCCCATTAGTCTCAGTGACTGTGGCTTCACCGGCATGATCCCGATGCATCTTAACCAATGTCCGAATATGATTGAACTAAATCTCTCGGGCAACGCGCTGTCCGCATTCCCTCGATGCCTGCATCTCCCAAAACTGAAGCGGTTGAATCTACGTAACAATCCTCGTTTGCAAAATCCAAATCCATCCACGGGATTGGTCGAACCACCTTTGGTAGAGCAGTTCCCCAGGCTCGTGTCGGTCGAGTTGGATCCGCCTTTGGTCAAGGCAAGTGATGTGCGGTTGTCTTTACGAATCATTCTAGTGTCTCTGAATCGGCATTCTTGCGGAGTATTAGTTGCTTCGATGTCTTCATCGGTGGGTGACCTGTCTGTCTAGCCTGGCAATAAGAAACCACGTAGCTCGCAATTTCCATGGTTCTTTTCAGTAACTCACTGTATCGGTGAGCCATCCTTTTGCTTCGTTGGATAAAAGATTTTACGATGGGCTTAGAATCTCATGAATCAGCCATGGATGACTGTGAGGTCTTTGTATGGCAGAGGCGTTAACTTTTTTGTAGACCTTCCTGTTGAAGTCTCCATATTTAACCCCACGTATTGAACCCATTTTATTTCCAACGTGGCTTAATTTTTTCAAAGGCGACTGACTTCCTTGGAGTCCGTTGCGGATCTGAGATCTGGCGGTCAGCAGTTGCTTTGTAGTTTCTCATGTTAATCGGAACAGTTTACCATCCTAATAGCCGCAGACCCCTCGCTAGGTTTCATTTTTTGGCAACCCTTCGTGTATGTACCAACTGGCCAAGTCGGGACTGCTACTCATCCTTCCCATCAATGTGGTCGTTGTTCTCCGTCTTGAGGAACTGCGCATCGGCTGACTTTTTCACGTTTTGCATACTCCGAGATAATCCGCAATTCTGGAGAACAGGATGTAGTTTAGGCTCCAAGTAACAAACAGGTATGCGAGCCTGGGTTCACAACAATCATGTTGGAACCTGTATACACTACCTATACTCGTCAAAGCAGCATTCATACCTAGGTACAGCTGATAACTGGTCAAATAAACAAATCCTGGCGTGAGTTGGCTACTCAAAGAAACTGGATTTACCTGAAGCGTGACCAGTGATCGCCCGGTTGTCCATCTTCACAATTTATCAACATATAACATCGCATCAGCGCATGATCAACCTGAACTCATTCACCCACCACTTGGCTTCGCAATCTCTTTTGGGATACGTTTCTTGGCGCCATAAGTTTGCGTTTAATATCCCACGTGCGGTTCAACGAGGTCTTTTGAGTTCTTACGGAGCGTTCGACTGCAAGCCTGGGGAAATTGAGATGATGCCCCTCCCGCCCAAAAAATGCATGTGCCAAACAAGCTATACGTCATGTTATATCGGACAGCAAGAGTACCAACCTTTCAGTTATCCGGTTGCGTTAACTATGGTCGTACCAATGCAGACAAACGAGAGGAATTAAAGTTCCCTACAACGCAATCACAATGTTCCGTAAAGCAGTACCAAGCCTTTGCGACGTTCTTTGGACCTGTTCTATGAATGCGATTGTTTAGGACCAAAAGTATGTCACGAATGTTACCCGGACACGACGCCCAAAAGCCCACAGACTGTGTGTATCACCTCCGTTCTTTTTTTCCATAGGGCCTTGGGGCTTTTTCCTTCAATTTTTTCCACTGTTGTTGCCACGACAGGGAGTGAAGTTCTCAATCAGCGCTTGTCCGATCTGTTTGCTTGCATTTGGGAAAAGGAGTCTATCCCAGACAAGTGGGTAGAATCGGTGATAGTGCCCGTTTTCAATAAAGGGGCGCGTAGTGAGTGTGGTAACCACAGGGGGATCAGCTTGA